AATCAAGAAGTTTTTTGCAAAACAGAAATTTTTGGTTGAATCTCAAACTTTTGGTTGATGCTTTAAGTTTTTTGGTTGAGTCTAAGTTTTTGTTTGAACTCCAAAAAGTTTTGAACTCAGAGAACAAGAACATCTGGGGCGGGATCTAAGGAGCAACTATGTAAGACACGTCCCTATTGGTTAGTGCGTACTGGATCATTTCCTGTTGTCCCTCCCTCCTTAGATTCCACCCCAGATGTTCTTGTTTTCTGAGTTCAAAACATTTTTTCTTATTGAAATAGCTTTTTTGTTTGGTTGAAATTATTTATTTGGTTGAAAGTATTATTTTTTTGATTGAATTTATTTCTTGTTTGATTGAAAAATATTTTTTTTGATGGAAATTCTTATTTTATGATTGAAGCTGCTTTTTTGTTTGATTTAATAATAAAAAACAAAATTACCTCCATAGTGGGGGCCACGTCATACAGATGAGATTAACTTCACATGAATCGTTTGCAGCAACCGTAACATTTTTTTCACATGAATTCAGCTACACTGAAACAGTAGCAAGCTACCAAACATCAACAAGCTAACATTAGCTACAGTTACCTTACCATTCTCTGTCATCCTGTCCTCTTGCCTTCAGCGTCATAATGCTGAATGGTCTGCTGCAATGTTTGGTACTTTCCCATCGAGTTTGGTGTGGTGCATTATTGTTGTCGCAAATAAAACAAAATAAGATTTGCGCATGTTTTAATTTTATGATCCCGCCCACATGGAGGCGACTCTGCTCAATGCAAACACAAACAGGGCTGGGGTAGAATAGGCCAGGCTTAACTGGGGCTAGGTGGGCCTTACAGTGGTGAGAGTAACATGAAGATGCTTGGAGATGTTTCTGCAGTCTTTACTTTTCTAACTCCTCAGGCACCTCTCACCTTTGCATTCCTACGCTGTCTGTTCAGTGTGGTGCACATAACGATACCAAAGGACCCAGTAGCGTGTTTGTTTCTTTTTAAATAGGCTGATAAGCTAAAATGCACCTGTGATACGAACTGGGTAAAACAGTTTGAAACTCAACTGTTATGCAGATTATTGTCTCTTTACAGGTACCAACAAATCTGTCCGTACTATTTTAAATGACTACTGACAAAGTCTTTATGATGCTTTTGGTCGCGTAATTGAGTACTGCTGTAGTGATAACTGTATGGTGATAAATTAGTCTAAAAAAGATTAACCTTTATGACTTGCTTACTGCTGCAGATTCGTGCGTGTAATGCTGTATTCAAGGCTGGTGAAAAGCTGGGACATCTGAGCCTTACCAGATTTACTGGGTTATTGGATGCAAGGTGTTTCTGACCTTATAGTCCTTGCAATATAACATACAGTGGTTTGCAAAAGTATTCATACCCCTTGAACTTTTCCATATTTTGTCACATTACAACCACAAGCATAAATATATTTCACTGGAATTTAATGTGAAAGACCAACACAAAGTGGTATACAATTGTGAAGTGGAAGCAAAATTTTACATGACTCAAAACATTTTTTACAAATAAAAAACTGAAAAGTGCGATGTGCAAAATTATTCAGCCCCCCTGAGTCAATACTTTGTGGAGCCACCTTTTGCTGCAATTACAGCTGCAAGTCTTTTAGGGTATGTCTCCACCAGCTTTGCACATCTAGTGACTGCAATTCTTGCCCATTCCTCCTTGCAAAACAGCTCAAGCTCAGTCAGATTGGATGGAGAGCGTTTGTGAACAGCAGTTTTGAGATCTTGCCACAAATTCTCAATTGGGTTTAGGTCTGGACTTTGACTGGGCCATTCTAACACATGAATATTCTTTTTTTTAAACCACTCCATTGTAGCTTTGGCTTTATGTTTAGGGTCGTTGTCCTGCTGGAAGGTGAACCTCCGCCCAGTCTCAAATCTTTTGCTGACTCCAACAGGTTTTCTTCCAAGATTGCCCTGTATTTGGCTCCATCCATCTTCCCATCAACTTTGACCAACTTCCCGGTCCCTGCTGAAGAGAAGCACCCCAGAGCATGATGCTGCCACCACCATATTTGACAGTGGGGATGGTGTTTTCAGAGTGATGTGCAGTGTTCTTTCTCCGCCACACATAGCGTTTTGCATTGTGGCCAAAAAGTTCAATTTTGGTCTCGTCTGACCAAAGCACCTTCTTCCACATGTTTGCTGTGTCCTCAACATGGCTTCTGGCAAACTGCAAATGGGACTTCTTATGGTTTTCTTTTAACAATGGCTTTCTCCTTGCCACTCTTCCATAAAGACCACATTTGTGTAGTGCACGACTAATTGTTGTCCTGTGGACAGTTTCCCCCACCTGAGCTGTGGCTCTCTGCATTTCATCCAGAGTCACCATGGGCCTCTTGGCTGCCTCTCTGATCAGTGATCTCCTTGTTCGGCCTGTAAGTTTAGGTGGACGGCCTTGTCTTGGCAGGTTTACTGTGGTGCCATACTCTTTCCATTTCCGGATGATGGATTGAACAGTGCTCCGTGAGATGTTCAAAGCTTGGGAAATCTTTTTATAACCTAAGCCTGCTTTAAACTTCTCCAAAACCATATTCCTAACCTGTCTGGTGTGTTCTTTGGACTTCATGATGCTGTTTGCTCCCCAATATTCTCTTAACCAACATCTGAGGCCGTCACGGAGCAGCTGTATTTGTACTGAGATTAGATTACACACAGGTGGACCCTTTTGAGTCATTAGCAGTCATCAGGCAACTTCTGAATGCAATTGGTTGCACTCAGGGAAAAGGGGGCTGAATACTTTTGCACGTCGCACTTTTCAGTTTTTTATTTGTAAAAAATGTTTTGATTCATGTAAAATTTTGCTTCCACTTCACAATTGTATACCACTTTGTGTTGGTCTTTCACATTAAATTCCAGTGAAATATATTTATGTTTGTGGTTGTAATGTGACAAAATATGGAAAAGTTCAAGGGGTATGAATACTTTTGCAAACCACTGTATGTTCACATTGACATTACTGGGTTCCAGAAAATGTTCATTGTGTGGACAGTACATTTGAAGTAAACTACTCAAAAATGTTTAGGTTATTTTTATTCTTGAAGAATACTGGAAAATATATTTAACTGTAGTTTTTGCAGAGGAACACTGGTACATATGTTTCCAGTAGTTTTTGTAGAAGAATAACCAAATAATTTTAAGTAATTTACTTAAAATGTACAGTTCACACAAAAGTACAGGAAATTTTTTTCGGTAGTTTTCCCCCAAGAAGAAAATGTTAATTTTGTTGACTGTACAACTGAAATAAGTATCTCTAAATAGGTAGGTTATTCTTTTTGTTGGATAACATTTACTGGATTTAACATTTTTAGAACACTGATGTCAATGTGACTCTGCTTTAATATACTTTAGAGTTTATGAGTTGCGAGTCAGAAATGTATTTTCCCAATAACCCAGTAAATTGCTAAAACTCAGATGTCCCAGCTTTTCACCAGCCTTGAACGCAGCAGTGGACGTGTTTATCTGCAGCAGTAAGAAAGTCTGAAAAGTCACATGAACATATTAGCAGATTCACGTGTGCATCCTCGAATCTTGTGCATGTTTGAATATTGTTGCTCACACTTGAATGTTTTTGAGACTAATTTATCTCCATATAACTGAACTTTTTAAGCTTCTGAAAGCAATACAAGCAATATCTGATTAGTTTAATTTGTTTTGGAAAAGAAATGTATCTCAATGTTTTATGTGTGACTTTGTGGCCTGAGACTCGTTTCAAGCAGCTGGGATTTAAAGGGCTACAATGTTTTATTCTTTAAATACAGATTGAATATGCATACCTTAATTATAACTCGCTGTTTATGAACAAATTCAGACCTTGTCTTTTTATTGAATGAAACATGCTTTTACATGAAATCCAAGGATATTTAAAAGGTTTGAAGTTTGTATAAAGAAGTCTTATATTTTAGTACAAAATATTTTCTACTTGATTTTTCTGTTCTTAATAAATGTGCAACTGGAAAATACTTGTTTTTTCATGTTTTGTTTTACAGGGGTTAATTTTTAGAAATGATTAAAGGAGTATGGGGGTGTATGTGGTGGTGAAATACACACTGAGTATTATTTTACCAGCAAAAACATAAAAAAATGAAAACACAGGCAGCATTAGTTGTGTGTTTATTAAGAGCCAGATTAATTATTGCTCTATTGGGCAGATGATATCTCAAAACGCTAAAACGTTAGTGTCGTTTTAGTCAAGATTATTAGAAAAATATATTGTGAACCAGTAGCTGGATATACTGAAACTTTCTGAAAGTAATCGTCTACAACTTGTTAAGTTATGGGGTCACCCTAATTTAAGATGATTCGTTAACAGACACAAAATATCTTTTTAATTCAGGTGTTGTTCTTCACCTCTGACATGGTCTGGATTCAAGTGCTGGTTGTGCTACTGAAGTCTCATGTCTGTGGCAAGATTTCCATCAGCATTCTTGTTTGACAAAATAAAAATCCCTCATCAGTCACTAGACCTCTGAACATCGTTGCTTCTGTTATAGAGGGAAAGCAGGGAATACCCTCTTGCCCTCCATATGAAAGGAAATGTTCTGATTGGTTGACTGCCCTCTCTGGAGTTGGAATGTGGTTCTGCCTCACGTTGAGTTTAAATATCTTGGGGGGTTTTGTTCACAAGTGAGGGAATAATTGGAGGATGGGCTCAGCAGGTCAATCAGTGGAACTTCCTACTACCTGTTCGTTGTGGTGAAGAGGAAGCTGAGCAGCAAGACAAAGCTCTGATAGTATGGGCATGAACTTTAGGTAATGAGCAAAAGAACAAGATCACAGATACAAACATTGAATTGAGTTTCCTCTGGTAGGTACTCTGTCAGGGTTCAGTTTCCAGAAGAGCCACTTCGAGAGGAGGCGGTTGAGGTGGCGTCTGGTGAGGATGTCTTAATAGAGAGGTTTTCCAGACATGTCCAACTGGAAGGAGACAAAGGACTTTTTAACCTTTGAGCACCTTGGAATCCTAGAAGTGTTGGCCCCACAACCTGAATCTGGAACATACGAAAGGTAAAGGATGCATAGTTGTGATCTTTTTTTGACACTGGGTTGTAAGATCTCAGTTTAGAGAATGTGAAAAGTCTATGGTGACATCCATCATCTTCAAGAACAAATTTCTTCTTTCAAAACAAGTCAAACTTGGTTTGTTGTCTTGTTTTCTGCTTTGTAACTGTGTGATAATAGTTACTTTTACCACCAATGTTCGAGTTGATGGAACAAGACAAACTTGTCACCTTAGTTGTGAGACAATGGCCCTCCTGTGAACAGTGAAGCCAGAAAACAGGAGGCCGCCCCACATTTGAACCCTAAACGGGAAGTTCCGCCTTGCAAGCAATAAAGAACCCCTGGACAAACAAGATGATAGCTCATCTTTGCTGATGGAAATGACTGCACGGTCTGCAATCATGCAAAAGAGCTCAGCTGACTTCATCCTGCTGTGAGTCTGTTCTTAATATTTGAGGCATCTTGATAAATTATCCAACAAAAACCCTAAATTGTCTGAAACTGGATGTCTGGAACGCTGCCCCCCCCAAAAAAACTACTTCCCAATGACTGCTTAAAAATAAATTTACAAACCTCCTTTATTGAAACCATAACAAAACATATTAAAAATACATTTTGTGTGTCTGCACATTTAACCATAACTCATTAGTCAAAGAATAAAAACCCAAAAGTCAGTAGTCAAACAATTACAGAAAGAAAACTTACAGATCTTACTAAACTCTGGTCGTATATTCAAAGCTTAAAAAAGGATATGATTATCATTTTATTCATAAAGACTAAAAAATATTTCTTTAAGAATTCAAGTTTTAAAATCTGTCAAAATATAAAAATCAAAATAGTTCATTCTTCAGCAAACATGAACCGACGGCTCACAGAGGAAATGTTTAAAAGTTTCAGTTCAACAAAATAAACATTAAAACATCCAAACAGTAAGACCTGACCTTTGTTCTTCGTAATAAATCACATCTGCTATGAAACTACAAATACTTCATAAAAAACAACGTTTAAAGCACATCTGATGAAAGAATTCTGTCAGCAGAAAAGGGAGACGAAGTTTAGTGAACTGAAATGTTGTCTGCATCTGTCACTGCGTTGTGACGAGTGTAGTTCTTCAGGAGGTGGTTCCATGTTGCGCTACGCCTGAGCAGCTCCTGGTTTCCTGTCAGGCAGGAAGCAAAGAAAAACGTTACCTTGCATGTAAGCAGTGATGTCTCCTGGGTGTTTTAATAGAGTGGCCCCCTGAAAATCTGAAGGTGTTTTTTTATTCACAGTTTGGTATTAGTGATTTAGAAAATCACCTAATCTTATTTATTGAGTCTTTTTTAGTTCCTGCCTCAGAATAGGTGCTTTCTTGGCACAACACCCAGGTCCTTTTAACTTGCTTTGTTGTGGGACTGACAGGTTTCAATAAGGGTTTAACAGTTCACAAGTTCTAACATCCACAGAAGCCACCGTCAGTCATGCATGGATCAAGTTAACATGAATGCCTCACCGATGATGCACAGTCCCTCCTTGGCTCTGGTGATGGCTACGTTGATCTGGTTGGGGTCCCCCACAAAGCCTATATGTTTGGCCAACCAGGAGCCCTCTGGCTCAGTCATAATTTCTTTGCTTGGAAGTGAGCACACTGTTGATAAAATGACATAACGCCATTCACTCCCTGCAAAAAGAAAAAAGATAGAGGAGTTTCATTTGGTGAAACTGCAACAAATAGCTGCCACTTCTTACAACCCCTGGTGAAACTTATGGAATCACAAGCCTCAGAGGATGTCCATTCAGTTGTTTAATTTTGTAGACAAAAAGCAGATCACAGACATGACACAAAACTAAAGTCATTTCAAATGGCAACTTTCTGGCTTTAAGGAACACTAAAAGAAATCAAGAAAAAATGTGGTCAGTAATGGTTAATTTTTTAGACCAAGCAGAGGGAAAAATGTATGGAATCACCCTGTAAATTTTCATTCCCAAAACTAACACCTGCATCAAATTAGATCTGCTCATTGGTCTGCATCTAAAAAGGAGTGATCTCACCTTGGAGAGCTGCTGCACCAAGTGGACTGACATGAATCATGGCTCCAACACCAGAGATGTCAATTGAAACAAAGGAGAGGATTATCAAAATCTTGAGAGTCTAATCTGATCCCCTGAAGGTCAGTCTGGAGCTGTACAGAATGAACAATTAACACCAGTATTCTGAACTATGGCCGAACTACGGGTTTTTCTTTTGGGGGACTGGATTCTTTGGACTCATTCTTCAGATATTCACACAAGTGCATACAACATTCATGGCTTCAGATACACGCCCTCTAAACTCACCACTCCTCTGGCTAATAAATTCTTGCTCTGCTGAGGTTTTTTTCTATAAACACCATAGTGTGTCATATTTTGTTGATATATGTTTTTTTCCCTCATCTATCCTCGTGTTTTTTTAAGGTAGCACGACCTCTGCTGGTTGCTGCATGGCCTGATCACCTGTTCCCCATGTTTGTCATGTGTGTCTCTTGAATGGGTGTTCTTAAATGTAATTTCATTGTGCTCCGTACAATGACAATAAAGGAATCAATCAATCAAATCACCATGCAACGTTGCAAAAGATGTTGGTCGTTCAGTCAGCTGTGTCTAAAATCTGGACCAAATACAAACAACATGGGAAGGTTGTTAAAGGCAAACATACTGATGGACCAAGAAAGACATCAAAGCATCAAGACAGAAAACTCAAAGCAATATGTCTCCAAAACAGAAAATGCACAACAAAACAAATGAGGAACGAATGGGAGGAAACTGGAGTCAATGTCTGTGACCAAACTGTTAGAAACCGCCTAAAGGAAATGGGATTTGCATACAGAAAAGCTAAACGAAAGCATTCATTAACAATTAAACAGAAAAACAAGTTTACAATGGGCTAAGGAGAGGCAATCATGGACTGTGGATGCCTGGATGAAAGTTATCTTCAGTGATGAGTCAAGAATCTGCATTGGACAAGGTGATGATGCTGGAACTTTGTTTGGTGTCGTTCCAGTGAGATTTACGAAGAGGACTGCCTGAAGAGAGTATGCAAATTACCACAGTCCTTGATGATATGGGGCTGCATATCAGGTAAAGACGCTGGGGAGATGACTGTCATTACATCTTCAATAAATGCACAAGTTTACGTTGGTATTTTGGACACTTTTCGTATCCCATCAATTGAAAGAATGTTTGGGGATAATGAAATGATGAAATCATTTTTCAATATGATAATGCATCCTGCCATAGAGCAAAAACTGAAAACATTCCTTGAAAAAAGACAGAAGGTCGATGTCATGGCCTCCAAATAGTCCGGATCTCAATCCAATTGAAAATCTTTGGTGGAAGTTGAAGAAAATGGTCCACAAGAAGGCTCCGACCTGCAAAGCTGATCTGGCAACTGCAATCAGAGGAAGTTGGAGCCAGATTGATGAAGAGTGTTTGTCACTCATCAAGTTCATGCCACAGAGTCTGCAAGCTGTTAGAAATGTCAGAGGTGGTGCAACAAAATACTAGTGGTGTTAGTGTTCTTTTGTTTGTTATTCATGATTCCATAATTTTTTTCCTCAGAATCGATTGATTCCATAATTTTTCCCCTCTGCTTGCCCCCCCACCCCCAAAAAAAAAGAACTGTTACTGACTGCCACAACTTTTTTCTTGATTTCTTTTAGTGTTTCTTAAAGCCAGAAAGTTGCCATTTGAAATAACTTTAGTTTTGTGTCATGTTTGTGATCTGCTTTTTTTCTACAAAATTAAACATCTGAATGAACATCCTCTGAGGCTGGTGATTCCCTAAGTTTTGCCAGGGGTTGTATGTAGCATCAGTTTAACTGGGATGATTGAAACTTTAATCATTTTATGGTCACAATTAGCAGCTTGACTTCACTCCTGTTCACAGTTTTAATTTTGTTAGCGTTTATTGAAACGATACTATGAAACATGCGGTCCATTGTGGAAAGACAAACTTTACCTTGGCTTTTTGTGATTGTTGTTACTATGATGTTTTCTAATTTCCTTTCTTTCAGCTGGTCTCGGATTTCGGATACTTGGGCATTATAGGGCGACAGAACAACAATGTCTTTCTGGTTTACCTTTGCTTTCTTCACAAGCATTTCAGCAATCTTTACCTGAAAAAGAATAGAAAAAAAAGGCATACCAAATGTTGAAAACATATGGAGCACAGCAACTACAAAACCAAAAACAGTGTTAAAAAGGTCAGAACACAAAAATACAAAGAACAGCATAAAAACATTTTCATATAATTTAAACTGGTGAAAAGATGACATGAAATACTGATACCCTTTAGATTGTGTTTTTGACCCTCAGGTTTTAGCCTAGATTTACCACATTGTTATCACATACTGTTCCTTTGTTATAAAAACAAAAAAATGTGTATGATTTAAGCTTATAGTAACTGTTCAATCAAAACCAAATAGAACTTGTCCAAAAGGCAGAATTATATTAAAAAAAAATCTGTCTGGAACTGAATTATTGGTTTGCAAAGCATTGACTAACTAACAGTACAGATCAGTTAAAACCATCAATATACACTACCAGTCAAAAGTTAGGGTTAGCACACACATCTCAACATCAACGATTCAGAAAAGACTGAGCGAATCTAGACTTAATGGTAGAGTTGCTGCAAAGAAGCCACTTCTAAGAAAGAAAAGAAGAGAATGAGAACACAAGGGGTGGACATTAGAGCAGTGAAAATCTGTCCTTTGGTCTGATGAGTCCAAATCTGAGATTTAAACTCAGTTGAGATGGTTTGTAATGGATGCACGTTATCAATTAATGGATTAATCTAAAGTTGATTGATCTTATCAATCGATTAATGATTAATTTATAAGCGGCCATTTTCCTAAAAATCTGACATTTCTCTTGAATCAAGGGCCTTTTTATGATATTTAGGGCTAATTTTTTACACACTAAATAAAAAAAGTACAACTTATATTTTATATATTTCTTTGTGCCAGCTGTATTAAACACTGACTGAATAAACAGAAAATTGTGGACTTTTCACACATTATTAAACTTGGAATTATTTACAAAATATAACAAAACAGGAATCTATTAGGTTGCTAGTTGGAAAAAAAGGAAAGGAAAAAAAAGTCAATTTAAGAGAAATGTAACTCTACCATTTAAATACAGGGTAACATTTTAATCTAAAGATTTACTCAAAAACAAACTATAACCATGACCTGAGAGGGACATACAAATGAGTACTGGAACTGTGTTTGTTTACATTCCCTGTGGTTCTATCTGGGCTGGGCTGATCTGACTTCAGTTACTGTTCATTTGATTGATTCTCTGGCCGGGTTACGTCACACAGATGGGAGTAACTTCACGTTAATTATTTGTAGTGACTAACTTGTTTTGTTTTGTTCTTTTACACACGGAGTTAAACTAGAAGAAGCTAACGTTAGATAAAGTTAGCTCTTACTGCTGTCTCTGTTGTCCTGCTCTAGAGTCATACTGCTGGATAGTCCGGTACAGCCTTCGGTACTTTTCTTTCGAGTTTGGTGTAGTTCGTTATTATTGTTGTGTCGCAAATAAAACTAAACCAGATTTGTGCGTTTATTTATGATGCCGTCCACATGGAGGCGGACGGCGCTCTGCTCAGCTCAACGTTTGGCTGAGAGCAGCGCCCCCATCTACTGGATGAAGGCAAAACAACACTGAAATAAGGTTTAAATGGATGTTTTCAATTAATCAAATTGAAGAAATTTTAATCCAACAAACCATTAATCGACAGTTAATCATACGTCGATTAATTGTTTGCATCCCTAGTTTGTAATGAGTCAGACAGTAAAGGCAAAACAGCCAACAAGTGCTCAGCACCACTGGGAACTCCTCAAAACTGTTGATCCACTTCTCCACTGTCAAATCATTTCAAGCCTGGAACTGGCAGTTTCCTTAATATTTTTATTTTATGCTATTACTATTTAACAACCATTGTAAAGACGTTTTTAACTTGACAACATTACAAAAATAAAAGGATCAAAAAAAGAATACAGAAAAAAAAAACGTCTTGTTGGCAATTCATCTCCTCTCCTTACTGCAGCTGAGCTGACAAGCTTGTCAGAGCTTTGGGACTAAGTAGGGCGCTTCACCAGCTGCTGAAGACTGCTGAATGATCAGTTTCCCTTTCCAGGAGAGCCACTGCAGCCCATAAAAGTCTCCAAACACATCAGAAAATGTGTATAGATTTGACTCTCGTTGGTTAAAAAAGTTTCTAGAAGGGTCTGAAAACTGGCTAAATCTAGCAAAAATGTCACTTAACAACACTGACCGCATGCTTGTTTCTGAATCCTGTGCAGATGGTGCGTTCACGGACCAAAGAAAATGTCAGACTTCTCAGAACTCATTTAAAAACGGGAAAGAAATTTTTAAAAGTTGTTATGGCACTGGTTTTTTTTTTTTTTTTTAATGCGCATGTAACCATAGGCTGCCTGTTTGTCTGAATATACAGTAACTGCTCATTTCGGACTCAAGCTGTATGCGATACTGTCCTAAAACAGATAAATAGATTTGTGCCTCTCTCCAGAGGAAGTTAGCAGATTTTGCTTTGGCTCAGCATATCTATGAGCAGCAGTCTGCTGATGTCAAAATCGCTTGAGCGCAATACTCAGCTTCACCTGCCTGGAACCACGGCTGGGGTGGATCCAAAAATGGCGCATAAACTGGAAATGAAGGCACAGTTGGCTGAGGCTGAATCGATGGCCGCCAGTGGAGAAGGGGCTTTGGAAAACCATTCCAGGTAAGTTCAGTAAATGGTCAGAATTATGGGGTCCTTCATACTTATAGTCTGGATGACTTCAGTATTGATTTAAAATGTAAGGGGGGGGGGGGGGGGAAAAAAAACAAAACTATTGAATCAGAAGGTGTTTCCAAACTTTTGACTGGTAGAGTAGAAAAGAAGGAAGAAGCAGTCAGGCTGAATAACAGTCATTCTAAATGCAACATCCTGCCTCAGATCAGAATTTCATGAGCTCCTTTTTGAATTTTAAGCATTAAATATAAACACATGGAAATCTGGTACATTACCACTGTTTCTTTCTCCTTATGATTGACTTTGGAGTTGTTGTTGCCCTTGGCAGTCTTCACCACCAGACGTAGAGTCTCTCCTTCTACATGCCCAAAGACGACTGGCATTGTCCTGCCGGCGATGCGCAGGACGCTGCTCGGCTGCTCCACGCCAGTCTTCAGCTTGCCATCGTAAAATTCTTCTGATGGGAACGCACAGATGTCCTCGTGCTAGTTAAACACAACGCAATAATGTGAACAGTACATCCCACATGCCGCTCGGGCAAGACAAGCTGTTTCATGTTCGCACCATCCTGTACTGGGTGTCCAGCATCAAAGCCCGGTTTTCATGGAGTTTAGTGTAGTAGCGCTCAAAAAGGGACGTTGCCATTCCGAGTTTCTTCACATCTGAATTCTTCACGATTGGCCGTAGCTGTTTGTGGTCACCAATCAAAACAATCTGTTGAATCACAAAGTACATGTGAGTGTGGCGGTCATTACCAGTCCTCTTGACCCAAACTGGATACATTAATATGAGTCAACTGAAGACATTAGAAACAATTTTAAGACAACAGTAGTTTAGCAGCCATATATGCTAAACATCTAGAGTGAATGAAACAAGGATTGTGTTTAGGTTTTTAGTTAATTAGATGAGTGTTAAACCTGTGTTTGTTGAATGCTCTGTTGACAAAGTTAAAAAAAGACATTGCACACATTGCATTCCAAATTAGTATGTTCTAGTAATGGTATAATCTAAAGTTTTGTGTTGAAAGGAGCTGAGTCTGAGATCAGCAATGCTTCTTTAGAGCTGATCATCCAACCAAACTACAAGAACAACTAAGGTTAGGGAAGATACTCGTCTGTCACTTCTTTGGGATCATCTGCAGAATTGCAAGAACCTGCCAGAGGTCACTATGGTGTTGAATCAAACACACCCCGGAATTAAAAACTCCTTTTTGCCCAACAGTGAAGACATTACAGTGCTCAAAGACAGCTGAGTGAAAGCAAAGCACCTGCTCTGGTTTGTTGCAGACTAAAGGAATCAGGGCCTGGGGTTCAGTGGCCATTGCACATTCATCAATCAGGATTTGACGTGCACTGACTGAGGAAACCAGGCTGTGCGTGGATGACTGTGTGCATGTGCATAGGATGACATCATGCTGTCTGAGCTCATGTTTCCGACCTTTTTTGAGGAGTTGTTTGTACCTAAGAGGAAAAAAAAACACTTAGAGCTTTGGTCATCTTGAAACTGATATCAGTACTTGATTAAAAAAATACAGTTTGTTGAAAATTAACTGTCTACTATAGCATACATGCCAAGTTGTACGAATTGTAAATTACATGGATTTTTCTCCATTTTGCAGGTATAGCTATGGACATGTAGGGCAATCTCACAGATTTTTTTTTTCAAAAACTCAGCTTCAAGTTTATTTTACATCTCAGTGCCTGTAGGACATAAAAAAACTAAAAGGAAACAAAATAAAAATAAAACATCTGCCAGCCCACTCTGCTGCAAGAAATACATTCTCCACATCTCCCTGTCCTTCCCTGCTCTTCTGTGATGCAGGCACTGTTATCTCTACCTCACATTCTGTCTTTCCTCGCAGCCGACAGTCTGCTTGCATCCCCCAACCCCAACTCCCCACCTGTGAGTACGTAATGCAGAATTTATTTATTTTTCTTGTGAAAATTACAGATTTTGAGGGTCATGATCATCCAAAGGGGTTGACATGTATGCTTTAGTATTGTACTTAAAGTATATATAGATAGAGCAACTGGAAACATTAACATTTTTGGGTTTAGCACCCTTTAAATCGATACTGGACTGTAACTTACTCTTCCACTTCGTCATCATTCAAGACTTCTTTAAGCCTAATTCGTTCGTCAAACTTCTTTATTTGACCTGAATGAGGGTTTGGATGCTCTCGCATGCGATGATGCAGAGTGATGCTCCTAGAACCATGCAATACATGATGGGTTTAGAAATAGTTAGAGAAGCATTTACAAAGTTAGTGTTAAGGTCCCTGTTCAGTTCTTGTGTCTTAAAATAGCTTCATGCAACTTCATACATTTTGCCTCATTCATAGATGTACTGTAGATTCATGAGTTAGCTTCCCCACCACACCTGCAGTTGATTCAGCGCGACAGCTGCTCCTGCACAGCAGGTATAAAAAGAAAACCAGTTTGTAATGATGAATGTTACAGTGCAGTACCTGAGCTCTGGCTTGGAGCGATCTTGGCGAAGGGTCTTTGAGGAAAACTGCAGGTTGCTGTCTGGATAAGGGTATTCAAGTGTCTCTACTTGTTGGCTGTAGACTCTAAGGATCCTAAAGCTGTCTTTGATTTTCATCAAGAACTCTACACAAAATCATTAAAAGCACATAAAACACATGTAAAGCCAGTTTAATTGAAAGCAGGGGGGTTAATATAAAAACTGAGAAGCGCAACTTAAAGTGTAACTTACCCCCCCTGTGAAAAGATAACTCCGCCCCAAGGCGAAATTTGAAAAATGCATCAAAGTGGGTAGGGGAGGGGGTGTGGGTGGAGGAAGGGGGGTTAGAGAGCGGAGGTGTGGCCAGGTCGAGAGAACGTGACAGGCAGCTAGCATTAGCATAATTGATGCTACATGGAAAGTGACCACAGTATCGCAGACAGTTCTATTTCGTGTAAGCTCCGCCCTCTAAGGCTATCGCAG